ATTCCGGGCATACGCTCATATCCCATAATTCGATACGGACCTACCAGTACCGTCAAAGTATGAATCCGGGCCCGTTTATCAAAAATATTGACCGAAGTCAACTAAAATTAATTTTTAAGATAAAAATTCTTATTTTTATTAGTTTTTAATATAAAAGCCTTCCGGAAACCTGCCCGGATTGCGCACGCAAATCGAGAAGGGTAAAAATAAAATTTTTAAGACTTAAGAGCGCAGATTCGAGTTCTAAAATATAAGATGACCTTTTGGGTCATCACATAAAAGGCCCTGCAACACGCACCCAATAGATATGAATAGGACATCAATCTTGAACTGAACACAAAACCTATGAACTGATAATAAGTTATATTTAAATTCTAGAACATGTAACACATTGTTCAGGATATGACCTGGCAGAATAGAAATACTCCATATATGAGTGACAATCACCTTGAAAGAGTTAGGTAAAGTGATATTCAAAAGTACAGGAAGTGGAGTTAGAAATACGAAAGAATTAGGATCAAAACACATATGCTCCGAGGCACCTGAATCAATGATCAAGGTGTCTGATTTTAGACTAGTAAATACTGAACCTGAGTATTTTAGAATAGTACCAGCAACTGCATTAGCATTGATTCCTGTATTTCCTGCATGTGCTAACTTTTCCTGCTTATATATGTGCATTATTTCTGCAATTTGTTCCTTGCTGAGTTGCTGTTCAAAATTACTGCTGTTGAGTTTAGTGCTTTGTCCTGTTGAATTCTCATGTTCCTCATGTGTTAGGACTACATTTCCCTTAATTTGATTCTAATAGCCTTTGTGATTGGTGAACTCAAAATCTTCTGAAAAATCCAATAATTTTGTGGTAGTCCTCTTGTGTATACCCTATTTTTTCACAGTAAGTACAAGACACATTTGGATTGTACTTCTTTTTCCCTTTAAACCTTTGATGAGATTTAACAAACTTTTGTCCTAAGTTGTTATATTTGGGTGCTATGGCTGCTCCTCTTTGTGTTTTGGTTTCTAAGTTTATGATAATTCTTCCATGTCCTGTGATCATAAAAGCTGCAAAATTAGCTAGAAGTTATGCATTAGGCTGTCCCAAAGCTCTTTTGCAGTTTTGGAGTATATCACACTATGTGCAATATCCTTTGAGAGAGCATTTAGGATCCAAGAGATGACCATGTCATTCACACAGCTCCATTGTTCATGCTCTAGAGATTTTAGATCCGGAGATTGACAGGCTCCATTGATGAAACCAAGTTTCTTCTTGGCTGACAAAGACAAGAGAATAGATCTCCTCTACCCTGGGTATTCTCCTCCATCAAACATAGTGTTGACTAGAGTTATTCTAGGTGAATCGGAGTTGTTGAGATGACAGGGGTGATTGACATCATAGCTGACTGGTTTTGCAACATTGCTTGTATCACCAGTAGATGTGGTGGTTGTTTCAGGCATTTCAGGTTACTGATCTTGATGATGAATCTGATGTAAATGAATTTGATGGTTGGACTATTGGATCGAGCTTACTGCTCTGATACCATGTATGCAATTGAAGAAGAAATCTAATTGAAAATTTTTCTGTGTGTATTCATTACTTTGTACGTGTATATATATATATATATATATACACTTGCATCTGAAAACAAAGAATAACAAAAGAAAGAGACTATGTACAGTTGTCCCACTCTGATTTGTCCGGCAATAACATAAATATTCTATTCCTACAACAAACTATATTCCCTCGCATGTTAGTCACGTAAGGGAAGAAAGCTTCTAGTATCAATTTTATCATATGGTGTATATTTGATCTATCATAAACTCATCCAAGGGCTGTGACTCGTCCATGTGTCCCAAACATTGAGCTGAGTATAACTTGGGTTATATCGAAGTCAACACTTGGTCGGAACAGACACGACTTCTAGGTCTTCTTCCTCTTCTTCACCCTTTTTCTCTATCTCTAAGCAAATCTCCATTAATCTAATTAGAATTAGGATGGGGTTTCTTCTTTCCAATAAATTTATCACTTAATCATGATAAATTAATATGAGTTGATGCAAACACCAAATACAGTTAAGTTTTTACCATGTATCTAGGTTCCGGTAAGAAAATAAGTTATACATTCGCGAATGTAAGTTAGATCGATTAATTATTAATTATACTTAACAAGCACAGTTAGGGACTTGACAAGGTGGGTTGCTCTGATGGTAAGCGCCCTCCACTTCCAACCAAGAGGTTGTGAGTTCGAGTCACCCCAAGAAAGGTGGGAGTTCTTGGAGGGAAGGATGCCGGGGGTCTATTGGAAACAGTCTCTCTACCTCAGGGTAGGGGTAAGGTCTGCGTACACACTGCCCTCCCCAGACCCTACTAGTGGGATTATACTGGGTTGTTGTTGTTGTTGTAAGCACAGTTAGGGACACAATTATCTGATTCATATCCTTTCTTACATAATTATGTGATATGTGCATGGAGAATATATTTAATCGAATTTTGCCACCATTAACGACGAAACTGGAACAATCTTGGTTTGATGATTTAATTAGAGGACAGCTTTTAAAACTTTTAACGGGCCACGTGTTCAGTGGAAGACTTATTTATTTATCTAATTTGTAAAATACGGGGATGTGGGTTGGAATTAGTTGGAAGAATGAAAAATATATATTACGCCAAACTACTAAATGCTTTTGATGAGACAAATTAACAGGTTTTAAAAAAAATTATCTTCTGTAAATATTATTGATAAGGATAGACAAATCTTGTTGGAAGGCATGGCTTTGCACAGTGCGAAATTAAATTATTCAAAGACGTAATTATAATTGGGGGAACATGTGTTGTGCGTTGAATTTTGATAAGAAAAAGGAAGAAATTAGTTGTGATTCTATGCATCCGATCTTAAAAGATATATTGTGATATCATATTTCTTATTTTAGAATTTAAACGGTGCACCAATTAATATAAATTCTGTCTTTACACATATCATTGCATCATCGGCATCTGATTGATACATTAAATTTGTTAGTACGTCTTAGCTAGAGTAAGATTGTATCTACTATCTATGCAGGAAATTAATAATGAAAATTTTATTTAAAAAATTAAAAGTTAAGTTTTGCCCCCAATCCATGCAAAAAATTTAATAACATGATTCAAACAATTCGAATTTGTGATTTAAAGCAATTTTTGAATTATTTTTGCTACTATATTAATGAAAACTTTCTTTGTGCCACTACAAAAAAAGAGGATATATTTGAAATAAAATTATGACCAGTTTCACTATCTGAGTTACACAGTAACAGAACTACCTCCCTCTAGCTATATTGCTTGTAACTGGTCTTCAAAAGCAAGATTGTCAAGAAAATACACATTAAACTTAACTCACAAACACAACTAGAATAAAAAAGAAATACTGCCATTCGTTCAAAAATCTCTACACAAAAGTCTCTACTCAAATACAATTTTTTACCCTCAAATACATATATAAAAAAAACGGCTAAGGTCCAAATATAACTCTGTACTTTCGAAAATGGTTTAAAAATATCTCTCGTTATTCTATTAGGTTATCTATACCCCTGCAGTTATACTTTGGGTTCAAATATACCCCTCATTTAAACGGAGGGACACGTGTCATTGTCATGTTGGCCAATTTTAAATATCTCCTAATTAATTAAAAAGACTCATTACCCATACCCGAAAATTAATTTTCTAAAGCAATTTTTTTTTGTAAAAACTGAAAAAAACTAATTTTTTTACTAAAAATTGAAAAAAAACGAAAATATGTTTTTCTCCAGTTTTTACAAAAAAACTGCTTTAAAAAAAAACTGAATTTTTTTTTTGTAAAAAATGAAAGAAAAAACTAAAAAAAAATTTTCTAAAGCAATTAAAAACTGGAAAAAACTGATTTTTTTTAACCTAAAAACTGAAAAAAAAAAGAAAATATTTATTTTTTCAGTTTTTACAAAAACATTGCTTTAGAAAATTACTTTTCGGTTTTATTTTTAGTTTTTACAAAAAGAATTGCTTTAGAAATTATTTTTCAGTTTTTTAAAGATCTTTTTTTTCTAAAAACTGGAAAAAAATATTTTCGATATTTTCAGTTTTTAGTAAAAAAACATTCAGTTTTTTCCAATTTTTACAAAAACATTGCTTTAGAAAATTACTTTTCAGTTTTTTTTTCAGTTTTTACAAAAACATTATTTTAGAAAATATTTTTTTATTTTTTTAAAACAGTTTTTTTTGTAAAATCTGAAAAAAAAAATATTTTCGTTTTTTCAGTTTTTAGTAAAAAAAATCCAGTTTTCCAGTTTTTACAAAAAAAATTGCTTTTCGGGTATGGGTAATGAGTCTTTTTAATTAATTAGGAGATGTTTAGAATTGGCCAATATGATAATAACACGTGTCCCTCCGTTTAAATGAAGGGTATATTTGAACTCAAAGTATGACTCCAGGGGTATAGATAACCCAATAGTATAACGAGAGGTATTCTTAGACTATTTTCGAAAGTACAAGGATATATTTGGCACTTTGCCGTAAAAAAAGTATATACGTGGGATTGAGATGAATATATGCCGGTTAGTCTTTAGCTGTATAATTTAAAAACAGCCACCGTCATGGAATTTTAAATTTACAAGTAAAAATCCATGACACCAGTTTGAAATATTACCCCTGTGAAGTGGCTATTTGTGAATTTTATCCCAGGGGCTAAATATAGTTTACAGCCTATGGACTTATAAATTTCGTCTAAGTTGGATAACCTCCGGTCCAAATCCACAAAGTGGATAATTGATAGAAATGTGTAAAGAGTTGGTATTTAGGAATTAATGTATCATGAATTTTAATTTTTTAATTTTTCGGGATTCTGAATTTATGATTTTTAGTTCAATTTTTTTGGACAAAATAAATAGTGATTAAAACGAATAATTTTAGCCGATGCTTTAAACGAAAATTTAGTTAGGAGTATGATTTTTTCTATTAGAAATATCCTATAGTTTTTGACACATTTTGTGGAATTGATGTTCTCGTTCTAAAACATCTCTTTAGTTTTTGATAATTGGTGATGTTCTTTTGGTAAAGTCATTCAATCCGTATTTCCCAATAAAGAAACCAAGGTGCAAAAATAGGAAGTAGTAGTAATACAAAGTTTAGCGCCTCGACAGTCTTGAACTAAAGATGATAAATGCCAAAATACCCAAATTCAAATCTTTGGTCCCGTTAAAAGAAACAGAAATTAACCACCTTTTATGGCCGCCAAAATTTTCTTCACTACCGTTAGCTCTACAACACTATATCAATTCCGACACTCCTATACACGGCCAAAAGATCCATTCATACATTTTCAAAACTGGGTACAAACCCAATACCAATATATGCATCAAGCTTATAATACTTCATTTAAAATCTTCTTGCCTTTTCTATGCGCGCCAATTGTTCGACGAAATGCGTCAACCGACTCTCTCGGCTTATAATTACATGATTTCAGGCTATGTAAAACATGGGTTTGTCTTAGAGTCTTTTGATATGGTTAAAAAGTTGTGTCTTTCTGGTGAAACTCCAGATGCGTATACATTGTCAATGATCTTGAAAGGCTCCACTAGTAGCTATGCCGAGTCATATTCTCCTTATATTGGAAAACAGGTTCATGCCCAGATATTTAAATGCGTCATTGAAGGTGATGATGTGCTGTATACGGCGTTAGTTGACTCGTATGTGAAGAGCGGGAGGGTGGACTATGCGAGGAGAGTGTTTGATTTGATGTTGGAAAAGGATGTAGTTTGCTCGACGTCGTTGATAACAGGGTACATGAATCAGTGTTATATTGAGGATGCTGAAGATGTGTTTAGTAGAACGACAGAGAAAGATGTTGTGGTGTTCAATGCAATGATTGAAGGTTATAGCAAACAAGTTGAAAATGCTAAGAAGGCGATTGAGGTTTACATTGACATGCAACGTTTGGGTTTTAGGCCGAATATTTCTACTTTTGCAAGCATTATTGGGGCTTGTTCTGCTCTAGCAGAATTTGAAATTGGTCAACAAGTTCAAGGGCAGCTCATGAAGACTGAGTTAATTGAGCATGTAAAAATTGGAAGTGCTTTAATTGACATGTATTCTAAGTGTGGGTTGGTTGAGGATGCAAGAAGAGTCTTTAACTACATGCCTGAGAAGAATGTTTTCTCATGGACTTCCATGATTGACGGATACGGGAAAAATGGGTATCCTAATGAGGCACTTGAACTATTTAGTGTAATGCAAATAGATCATCTCATTGTTCCAAACTATGTTACATTTCTAAGTGCTCTCTCTGCATGTGCGCATTCTGGGCTAGTTGCTAAAGGAAGAGAGATTTTTGAAAGCATGGAGAGAGATTACTCTATGAAGCCGAGGATGGAGCATTATGCTTGCATGGTTGATATCTTGGGCCGCTCAGGGAGCTTAAATCAGGCCTTAGAGTTTGTAATTAATATGACTGAAAGGCCAGATTCTGATGTTTGGGCAGCTTTACTCAGTTCTTGTAGACTGCATGGAGATGTGGAATTGGCTAATTTAGCTGCCAATGAACTTTTCAAGCTGAGTAGTGGTAGTCGTCCAGGGGCATATGTTGCCCTATCTAATGCTCTGGCAGATGCTGGGAGATGGGACGGTGTAAGTGAACTTAGGGAGATTATGAAGATTAGAGGAATATCAAAAGGTACAGGCTTCAGTTGGGTTGGCGGTGATAGCAGCTTGAAAGCTTTCTTCGCAGAACAACATATTTAATTAAAGATAATAGTAGCATTCTTTCACTCAGTTAATCTGATGTCTTGCGCTTCTCATTATATACAGTTTAAATTCTCTAGACTCCTGGTAGTTCAGGTTACATTGTTGCCAATCCATACCCACCTATCCATGCCTGAACAGGATGATAGAAAATGGATATATGGCTAGTTGAAATAACCCAATGGAAAATATACCTATTCAGCTACATGGTTTGGCTTTCTTCACCCTTGGACAAGGATTCAAGTTCATATGCGTGAGTTTGTATTTATATCCTTCAAGAAAGCAATGCTTCTATCTTTTAAACTCAGGTTGAGGTCTTCCTATATTCATGCTCGCATGAGGAGTGAAGAGGAATAACTTGTTCACAGTCAGCCATACTTCAGAGTGTGCTAGTGAGAGAGCTGTCCACTTTCCGGAATTTATCAATCTAGATCCCCAAGGCACCCAAGAAGGTGTGTTTCGTTGATTGGTTGGTAACAAAGGTAGAGACATCGATAGCCGAGAATCTGAGGAAGAGGAGAATTATTTATATTAGATGTTCGGTCTTCATGTAGATCATCTTCTGCTGCATTGCCGGATGGCAGTGGCATTTGTGGTGGGTGGTCCTGAATTGGTTCGGTGTACAATGGATCATGCCAAGCATGTGAAGGAAACCCTGCAATAGAGGCGGAACTAGGTATAGGTAAGGGGTTTGTCTTAGACCATCTATCAATTGATGTGATAAACTTAAATCTTTTCTGGAGAACTTGACTTCTTGGAGAAATAACTCTCTACATTATAGGAAAAAATATATTTTTTGGATATCCCTATTTGTAACAAGAGATCTTTTTTTTAAGGGAAAAAATTTCTTTAATCAGATCCAGACATTGATAGAGGGTCTATCGGAAACAGTTTCTCTACCTCTCCAGGTAGGAGTAAGGTCTGCGTACACACTACCCTCCCCACACCCCACCTGTGGGATTATACTGGGTATGTTGTTGTTGTAGATCCAGACATTGATAAGTAAGGACTTAACATTATGCTGCAGTTCAGGACTTTGTGGAACTAAATTCTTAATCCTGTGCTATGCTTGGAAGTTGGAATGTGCTGTCTCATGATGTGAAGCTGTCAATAGCATGACGCTAAAGATTAGTTATACGTGTAAGGCCTCTTGCTTCATCATCGCTGGTACCATCAGAAGAATTCTGTATTAATACTTGTTGGATATAATGAACAGTCTAAACATTTTCTCACCTAGAATATTAATCTTGATTTACTAAAAAATTCTATTGGTAACTGGATGTTGTTGACTAACCGTTGTTCTATGCATGAATAGGGTCTCCGCAAAGGGTAGTGCTGTTATTAAAATACTGCTGGTTTGGCCTTGAAGTTATTCCTTTCTGCTTGTGAATTTCATACAAAATTATTGTCCGTAGAAGCTTTCTGCAGCTTATTGCTTCTGTTGTTATGTGCTTCCATAGAATAAGTACTTATAGATAGTTCATGTTATTCGTTGTTCATTGAAGGAGATGGAGTCAACATTGACAAGCCTCAAGGCTATGCAAGTGCTGGAGAAAATATTAGCAAATATTTAAAATGGGGACATAGGTTTTGATTAGCCAAAAGTAAAGAGTCAACTAGTGAGAAAAACTTATTGATTACACTAAATTCATTTTATTGAAATAGAGGTTCCGGCAAGTGGTGTAAAGTTTGGACAAAAGAATTAGTTGTAGTGATTAATGAGATGCTAACGCTTATTTAAGGGCTTAAAGAGGTTAAACCAGTTTAAGAGATTTATTCCTATTCTCTGACCCATTACTCCTTCCTTCCCTGCTCAATAATTTCTCCTGTTATTAAGCTTCATTTTAGATATTCTGGGTATGCTGCTTCTTTGGTTTGAGTAGCTAAGCTGATTAAGTGTGTGCAATTGAATGGCGAAGGTGTCTTTTGCAACTATCAAAAGTTGTGAATGTCTGTCTCCGACTTCAAGAGCAATTTCTGGAAAATAATTTCCACTCTCCAGCCAACACCAGAAAACATTTTCTAGAAAAGTATTTTCTGAAAAAATAAGTCATTTTCTGGAAAATGTCTTTCGTCCTGCCAAACATACTCATAATCTCAAGTTCTGCTTTATAGGTAGATATGTCAGTTGTTAACACATCAAAGAATATCAAATTCTACTGCTATTATTTGGGTACATCACACTTTTTGCACTGAATTGATATGTTTCTCCAATGTGATTTGATGAGTGAATGTTGTACTAGGAACAGTTTTTCACTAGAATTTTCAGTCTTCTGTTAGCCACCTCAAGGGGAGGACACTGATGTAAAGGTTGCACTGATAATCAGTGCAAATTGTACGCTTGGTTTAATTTGCAGATTAGTGTATTTGACCATTAAATATTAGGAAAATTTAAATCAGGACTAGTAAAATAAGGTGCTAAGTGGCAAGTATCTTAATCTCAAATTTCGTCTTATAGGTAGAAATGACGAGAGTTTGAAGTTGCTCTTGCATCAATCTATGTCGAAGTCCAAGACTATTGTGTGGATGAAACTTTTACAATTGCATTTAAGAATGAATTGTTTGATTAAAATGATATTGGTCCTGTTATGGTTTTATGAGTGAATGGAGTACTAGGAGCAGTTCGTCGATACAAATAGTAAATCTCCCACTAGCCACCTTAAGGAATGGGAGGACACAGACAAAAGGCAATCGCGCAACCAAAACATAAGAAGCGGAAAAAAATTAAATCAAGCATCAGTCTGCTCTCTTGTTTGGTCTGTACTTATGATAAACTTGTTTTCCTTTACCTTGGGGGGTTGAGAAAGTTTTTGGACCATTCACCATTACTACTCCTTGAAAAAGATAATCCCTTTAGTAATCTTATAAAGATGATATAAAGGCTAGTTCTCCAACAAATGCTGGTGGGAGCCATTTGAAGTGGGGGTGTGAGTTCTGACCCTGATCGAGCACTCTTTTAAGTGCTGCTTTAGTATGCTAAAACTGGATTTCGATACTGCTCAAAAGATATGCCTGAGTTAACGTTATCTTTTGTCGATCATACTACGCTGTGGGACTTCTATAATTTATGTTGCTTTAGCTAAACCTTGATTCCTATTGTTTAAAGATTATGATTATAGGTTCTCTGTTCTATGAATAGACTAACCTCTATTTAATTTCTTAACATTGATTTGGTATCAGTGCTGCTATCTAATTCAAGTTCAGTATTTTGGCCTTTCAAAGTTGGTGCTAAAACAATGTTGATTGAGACAAGACAACTTCGGATGGCACCATTAACAAACTTATTTGTCGTTTTGATTTCTCCTAGTTTGTCAAATTTGTTTCCGATTGGAATGATCTGTCCGTTTACTGATTTAGCCCATTTTGCTCTGCTCATATTTAGGTAGGTTTCTTTAAAGATTGTGTATGACATGTCCTTTAACAAGAATAGCTTTCATTTGTGTTTGTGCTCATGAATTGTTTTGTATGCCTCCATATATTCCAGAAAAAAAGTTTAAATAATGCCTATGACTTGATAAACTGTGATTTAGTTGCTTGTGTGGTATCGAATAATCGGGTAAAGATAAGCTGTGATTTAGTTGCTTGTGTGGTATCGAATGATCGGGTAAAGACTAATCATACCTATTAGTGTTGACAGAAACTGAGAAATTCCGACAGGAATTTCCCATCCACAGATAAAGAAAGGGTGTAGAATGCATGTCATAAGACCATTAGCAGCTGCAAATCTAACAAAGCCACATGCAGGTTGCGGCTACATGGACGGAAATTTTTTATTTTCCCTCGTGTTTTTGGTAGTTAGAAGGATTTTACATTTTGCAGAACTGAATACAGATTGTCAATGTCACTTAATATCCAAGCTCCAAGTATCTTACATGGATTGATCCTCACCAGAAGATCTTGTATACACGGATCGTTACATAAATGAGGTAGCTGGGAAGTCCTATCAAGAAAATCCATCATTCCTGTTGTGCTGCCCCAGCCGCAGTGGCGGAGCCACATGCACCCAAGGGGTATCAACTGTTTAGCTCGGTATTTTTTTTTAAAATATGTATATATACTATATAATGACACCCTTGACTTCTTGATGAGTTAGTTTCTTTATATTTTGATTCCCCTTAATAAAATTTCTGGCTTCGCCACTGCCCAGCCGGCCACAAGGTCTTGCATATCAGATTTCTAACAATGGAGCTTTCATCTTCAATCCCAGTTTCTAGTCACTATGCCATCTGTTTCATGGAGAAAACTTCTTGTTGGCCTCAAGGAACAGGTAACCATCCCCACACCTATGATATTAACCTTAGCATTGGAAAATATGAATATGTGATGGTCCCATTTTCTTAATTTTAGTCCATAATAAGGACTACTATATTCAACCCCAGAAAACAGCCAGTATATGTGAAGTACCTTTTAAAACCCCTATTCATTCTTGATAGGACCATCATCATTTATGCCAAGGAGACAGGGTTAATCAACAATCATCTTTAAATTTTGCAAGTTGTCATTGAATTAAATATAGGGAAATTGGCTCTTCATATTTTTTTTGCGTAGACAACATTTCTACATCAATCTGATCTGACGGTGATGAGAGTTCTTTTGTGGATACCTTGTGTCTGGAGTAAGAATGAGCAAAGTCTTTTCTAGTCCCTTTACAGTATGTTTTATTAAGACTAATTGGGTCCATCATTGTTGCCAGATTTGATTATTTTCTTTTGTCAACTTTTAGCAAAATTATACTAACTAGGATTGATTTCTTTTGGTAAATACTTCCATACTTGTATATATTTGTATCAATAACTTAATGTTTTAAGTACTATTTTGCATCAAGTCCTTTGAAGCTCAGGCAATCCAGAAACAACTAGTAGGAATATTATTTTGTATTTTTTTTCCTCTTATACAAACAACATAAGGAGAACGAACAGTTAGGAGTACAGGGGTTGCGATCACTGGTCTCCTAAATGACAACTGCTATGTTTAGAGGCGGGTGAGTATCATAGCAGACTTAATCGTTAGTCTCTTTTAGTAAAAACTTGTATGTTTTAGACCCATGCCAGTGGTCATGTAGGCAGTTGCAACTTGCAAATACAAAGTTTGCATCTATTGCCAGCGGCGGAGCTAGGATTTTCACTGAAGGGTGAGTCAAAATAGAAAGAAGTAGACCTATGAAGAAGCCAAGGGGTATCAATATGTAGTATATATACCATAATTTATTTTATCTAGCTACATAGTGTAATTGTTCGACGAAGGAGTGTCGATTAACACATGTTGAATACATGTGGCTCTGCCACTGCCTATTGCCTTTGGCCTGAACAGTGTACTGACATTGGCGTAATATCTTGGAACTGTTTGTGCATGCACATGTCAAAAGGATTTTGAGAAAGCTTTGTTTTTTTATAACTGTCCGACAGTCCAAGTAATCACTGAGAATTTGATACGTGGTCGCTTTAACAAAAGCATATGTATGTTTAGAACAGTGCAAGTGACCATGGGATCTTAAAGGTGAAAAGATTTTCATTTATATTTGTTAAATAATGGGATTGATGAGAAAGATTATGATATACCTTTAGGCCTATCCCAAAGAGAATCCAGTAATTCTTTGTCGTGAATATCTGAATTGGTTGTTTGCTGTTCAAATAGATGGATAAGGAAGAGAGTAAAATGAAGAAGATATTAGATTGGAATGTTGTGATTCCAACAACTTACAAAGAATATATTCCAAGAAGAAACCAGACAAGTCTGTATTGAGTGCTAGAGACTAGTTCAATGGTCCAAAGAAGTGGGCAATATGGGAAGTAGTTTTCAACTTTTAGCCATAAAAATGTTGTGTTGTACGTGGCTAAGTTAATAGTGGTAGCTACTGTCAGTTTACTCATAAAAGCATTTCTGAGTTCTCACCACCCTCTTTGTAGAATGGTCCCCTAGTTTTTTGAAAACGAAATGTAACTAAAACTTTACGGAAATTATAGGGAACATTTATACTGGGAACTGTAGTCCTAGAATAGGTTGCTGAGGCTACAAGTTATTGTTTTTATTATTAATAATTAATATTTGATATTATTATGTATGTTTCATTCAAAAAGGAGGTATCAATTGACACATAGTCCTTACCCATAGTCAGTGGCGGAACATAGCGTCAAGGTGCAAGGGGCATCAATTGACACTCCTTCCTCGAAAATTATACGGTTTAGAAAGGTTAAAATTTTGTTTTTATGTATATACTCTATGTGTTGAATGTCGAGGGTCCATTGAAAACAACATCTATATCCTCACACGGTAGGGGTAAGGTCTACGTACACACTATCCTTCTCAGACCCCACGGTATATGATATTACTGGGTATGTTGTTGTTGTTGTACTCTATGTGTTGAATCCCCTTGAGTTCTTTGATTATTAGTTTTTAAAATTTTGACACCCCTTAAAAAAAAAATCTACACTACTGCACATAGTGGTATTTAAAATCTTGATTCCTCGTTGCTGATCTTGTAACTTTTGAGGACTGGATCGAGTCTAGTTTTTATCAAAAGGACTTAAAAGTAAAATCCCACAAACCTAAAAATATTAAGAAGAGCTAGGCATCATGCACTTACCAAAGATTTAGGCACAAACGTTAAAATTTTCCATTGAAATGAAGAATTTCATCGCTAAATTGATTTATCTTTGTATTTAATCCGTAGATCTTTGTCATAACTGATTTGATTTTGCTTTATTGAGCCGAGGGTCTTCCGCAAATAGCCTATTTATCTTTATAAGGTAGGGATAAGAGCCGCATACATATTATCCTTCCCAAACCTTACTTTTGAGAATACATTGGATATGTTGTTGTTGTTAATCCAAAATTGTTAAACATAATCAGAGTGATAACCAAGAAATACACTAGTCATTTACAATGCTATTTGTCAAATGATACTAGCTCTATACAGAAGTTTGCAGTTCCGATTTTTTTCCACAATGCTAGAGACTAAGAGAGTAAGGTTTAAAACTCAGTAGTCAGTAGAGACAAAGAAATTTAGATGGTATCCTATAATCAAGCTTGATGGGCAGAATTAATTGGTGGAAGGCAGCAAATATTTAATGAAATGCGATAAAAAATTATCTGCATTAGATGTTTACACCTTATAAGTAAATAATATATTTTTAGAAACATGATTATTATTAAACAATAGTTAATTAATACAAATGTAGGTACCTTAATCATGGTACTAACTTAAATGCAGGTAATTAATACAAATGAAGGTCTAAATATCTTATGCATATCAGTGCATGCAAATTGATTCGGATGTCATAGTAAAAAGAAAAGAAAAACAAATATATGTACTAGTACGTATCGTATAACCAGAAGGGATTATCGGCTCAAAGCGTTAACTGTGGTGCGGCTTGTGAGCCAGCCACTCTTAAGTCTTACTCGCTCTGGTCCGCGGTAAGTGATTTTTCGGCGGTTTTCATACATATTAAAAAATTCATCTTTTAACATTAATAATAATAAAATTGACCATATTAACATTTACTATTTATTTACATAAATACTCATAACACATACTTCAATAATATTTATTCAAGGGCAATGTAGAAAAAAAATAATTAATTTATTCTTAAAATTTAAAAAAATCTGATATTTTAGACCCAAAAAAAACTAAAAAATTATTTATTATGAACCAGAACTAGACGTTTAAATACATTTTCCATATGAAACCAAAAATGTAAACAGAAGTAAAGAAGAGGGCACAGAAATCAGGGTGGGTGGGGGCAGATACATTCATAGGGATCTGAGCACATTAAGATAAGATCTACAGTCCAATGGCCAGAGAGTCAAACATGGCTGACGACTCTATTGAACCTTGGGACCCACTTCTTCGAAACAATCCAAAAAGATGAAAGACAATGTTTATTCTACTACGTGACCTTGTGGGTCCCGTTTACTAATTAATTTCATTATTTATTTACTTTTGTTTTTCTTATTTTTCACTCTTTATGTGCAGTAAGTTTAGACATTTGATCTTTGTACTTTAGAAATTTTGCAACAAGTGTAATTTGACGCTAAACCATTGGTTAAATTAAACTTCTCACCAAGAAAATTCAAAAACTAAAAACATTAATATGCAAAAAAACTAAGCGAATTCGTCATATAATATATATACATAAAAGAATTTGATAGTATATATTCAATATGATTTTTTGACGAAGATTTCGCCCCTAGTTTTTCCGCTCATGCGCTAGAGCAAAGAAATTTCTACGTTATATGAGTAGAATCTTGAAGCTTAGTTTTACTTTATGGTTTGTAAGAGTTAAATTTTATTTGTTCTGTAAGTAGAAGAATAACAAGGAAAGTTACAATTACTAGAGAATGTTTTAGAAGGAACTACTATAATAACTGAATAGAGAAAGAATCAGAAACGACCTCTTTGTCTTTATAGGGTAGGAGTAAGGCTGTGTACACGATACATACTTCCCTTCTCATACCTCACGTATGAAATTAAGCTGGGTTTGTTGTTGTTGTTATACCAACTTGTCACGATCCAAATCTTCTTCCGTAGGATGTCGTGATGTCACCTAGTCTTAGGGACTAGATAAGCCTAACATTTCCTGAAATAATAACAATATTAATTAACGACTGACAAATGCGAAGTAGAAATCTCTATACAATACTTACAATCCCAAAACCGGTAGTACAAGTATTAAGCCCTACTGAGTTACTAGAAAGCCTATAAATACAATTGTTTTGAAGTAGAGATAAAACAGTGCAAGAATAATATCAGAAGGTGACTCCAAAATATGCGAATACAATAACAGATTTACCTTAAATCTCCACAACAAGATTCGTAGAGTTAGCTAGCGCTCCAATTTACTACACTTCTGCGCAAAGAAGACTTACTGTAATAACTGAATAGAGAAATACAAAGTGAGTTTCATTAGGTATCACAACACATCAATGAACTATTTAATTCTCTCCCGTAAAAAGTGGAACTCTTGATTTTGTTTTTACCAATTAAAACCCATTTTGTTTTTTACCACAAATATGATGTTGGTTTAAGACAAAGCCGCAAAGAGAAAGAGGAGGAGTCTGTTCCAACCCATCTTCTCCAAATCACATAGAACAAAAGCGAATTTACAATTTAAAAGTTCTAAACTAGAATAAGTGAATCTAAGTATATTTATATTTAATTTATACAAATAATTCGAGGCAAAACAGATAGTAATTAAAAGCTATCGTTTTTTCTTACTTCTCTCTCTCCTTGGGAATTAAAAAACTTTTGATATGATAGGTGATATGGACTAATACAATAAAAAAGGAGATGTAGGTCCCACTTACCACCAACCATGTGACTCACTCGTAGCTCCACTTTACATCTCCTAACTCACCTTTCCCACTCTCTTTCACTTGCTTTTCTTGTATTTTAAGCCTTTTGTTTTTCAATTTTTTAATTTTATTTTATGTAATGGTATTTGATTAGACAAGAGTGAATTGCTCTAGTGGTGTGAACACCCTCCACTTCCAATCAAAAGGTTGTGAGTTCGAGTTATTCTAACAGCAAGGTGAGGAGTTCTAGGAGGGAGATAGCCGATGGTCTATCGGAAACAGCCTCTCTACCCTAGGGTAGGGGTAAGGTCTGCGTACAAACTACCCTCCCCAAACCCCACTAGTGATATTATACTGGGTTATTGTTGTTGTTGTATTTGATTGAATATAAATTATAAATATTGATTTGATTTTTATTAAGATACTTCTTTCG